TATATATACAGTATATTAGTAATACTGCTAGTTTTCTTGTCTCCCACTGCAAATATTTAAAATAACTATTGTGTTTTGTGTATTTGTGGTTTAATATATGCCACATCAGGATGCACTGATGATGAGCTCCACCAGCACCAATTACCTCACTCAAAGATAATTATATAGTAAGGTGGTGAAATTCTGTAATCTGATGGGGAAATGGTACATTAAAAAAAAAGAGCCACCCGGACATTTCTGACGAGTAAAAGCAGCAACATGAAGTTTGAGAGGACAGAAAAGCAGCAGCACACATGGAGATGCAGCGATGGAAGCTGAGGGAGGAGACCATCTCTACCAGGCAACTCATTTGAAATTCATCAAATGTTTAACAGGAATTCAGCGACAAATGAGCAATCATGTCCTAACTAAATCAGACCACATCTCTGTGCAGTCTCTAATCATAAACAAATCAACTTCAACACTGTCATCAAGGGTTGTGACGCCATAATACACAAAGTGTAATCTAAGGCCAATACGGTCTTTTTCATGCAAGGAAAAGCAGTCATATGGAGACGAGGTGGAGAGAAATGATTGGGTGTTTTGTTTCGGGGGAAGAGTTGTGTTTGGAAGGATGAGAATGAACTCTGAGCAGCTGAAGCCAGTCGAAGGAGCAGAGTCTGACTGCTGCAGCAAAGCGATGGAGCCATTAGTGGACTGCAGTGTATTGGCAGGAATGTTGGGCTGAAATGAGCATTTRTGTGTGTGTGACACTGAGAATCATGAAGCTCTGTGCTTGGGAGCATTTGCCCTTGTGGGCATGTATCCATAGGTGTGTGTATGTGTGTCTTCAGGGGTGGGCAGGGACTCAGGGTGACAGCCTGTATTAAAGCCGGCTAGCCTTGGCTGTGCTCAGAAAGCTAATCAGGTAATTGTTCAGGGGGACGTTCCTGCCCAGCCTGACAGCAGGAGAACAGACAAACAGGCAACATGCTGGCATGTTTCCTGCAAACTGCAGGATTCACACATCCGTACCGTCAACACATGTAAAACATTGTTCATTAGAGAGAAGCAGCGAAATGTATTATGCAGCTCAGAGACGCTCTTCACAAGGGCAACAGACTCTGTGCTCCAACTCTTTCAACCCACTAACCATGCTAAAAGCTGTAATTGCTGCTCAGCAGTTCAGAAGAGTAATTTACCTAATCAACGTGATCTATAAAATGAAGGTTGTAATTTAATCAATTATAAGGGAAGCAAAATAACAGTAGTGAGTTTAGCACGCCTGGGCACCAAGATTTTATTTTTGTATTTTTTTTCCAGCCAGTTTTTCAGCTTGTTTAAAAGGATGGCTGATGAGCAAACATGTTCACAGTCGAAGCAGGTAAACATAATCATGAACACATACAATAAAACACACACATTCTTCTCATTAGGTGTATGTAATTTTAATTTGTATTTTTAATTAAAAATCAATCTGCCCTAAAAGATCATGTTGACCAAGTCCAAAAATAGGAATTTACAAAAGCATATTTGGTTCATCTTGAAGGAAAAACATACAGTTGTGTAATTTTACCTCCACAATTTTGGTATTTCAGTGGATGACAAGTTCAATCAAGAACTTCACTCATTCAAATTGTGCCTGTGAATATACAATATTCATTGGTGAATGTTAAAATCTATCTTTTACTGCCTTCCTTGATTTAAAAAATAAAAGAGATAAGATCCATACTGTAAAATATAAATGCCTTCATGCATAGTGGAAGTAAATATTTCACTGCTGATCACAGAGAGCTGTACGCTCACACTGATGTCAGTATCTCCACAAGCAGAGTTGATTTTATTATCTTACAGATTGGATCTTATCAGCAGAACAACTTTAGCGTATGTTTGCACAAAGAAAGAGGCAGAGGGTTTAAGTTTTTCRCACCAGTAGCCTGATAGCAGGCCAAAAGCTAAGGAAAGCAACAAGGACGTTTCAGATCTGATTCTAAAGATGATATCTGCGCCCCAGGAAGTCCTCTSTGGTCCCTGTAATTGACAAGCTGTCAGTGAGCCAAGAAACTAACTGCATCCTTGGAAGCTTTGATGGGCCGCCTCCGGGAACAATGACAGTCATGATCCTGTCCCCGACGCAGCCCGCTGCACTCAAAGCTGCAACAAAAGGTCCGAAGTGGAAACAAGTTGAAAAGGGAGGAGAAGAGCCAACGAGGAAAGTTCTGAAGGCCAGAAATAGGTGTCAGGACTGAAGGACAGAGGGGAAGAAGTTCACTGTAGCATTAAGCCTCCRCTAAACATGGCCCGGTCCCAATACTCACACTTCCACCCTTCAAATGCACGTTCCTGTTGAAAGGTTCCAGTTCATAGTCTTTATCCCTGTCCCCTTTGCACCTTGATCCACACTTCAGCTAAACCCGCAACCAAGCAGACTTCAGTGAAGTGTATTACCCACAATTAATTAACAATTAACATTGCTGTATGTGATGTTAAAAATGAAAAGGAAGAAAAATGACAAAGTTCACCGAGCACCTCCCAGTCTAGTGGAGGCGGTAAAGCACTTAAATTAGTCTGCCAACCACCAATTAAATCAAAGAAGAAGAACCAATACAAGAAGGCAGCTTATACCCTGCTGTATAACCCCGGATTTATACTGCATGCGTCTCCGCTGCGCTGCGCAGGTCGCAGCTGTGCGTTTCAAGTCCAATTTACACTACCTCCGCTCTGGTCCGGCCCGACAGACGTGCAGGAAGCAGATCGCACGATAAATTCAGTGATAAATGTGGAAGTGACAGCAAAAAAATTTTATTCTGTGAAAGATGAACTCCAAACACAGCTGAAAACAATGATATAAARGCTTTTGGTATCTATGTTGAAACTGTCTCGCTGTCGGCTTTCTGAAACTTCTGATTTCAAAATAAAATCCACGTGTATCGTGTGTGTACACATATGCTTCATGCTACATGTTTCCATCTGCTTCCCAAACAGAACGATACATTCTGACAGCATTTGTGTAGAAATACATCCCTATATTTATTGATATAGCCGCAATTTCGACATTATTCCGACAAATTATTCCGCCGAATAGTGTCTTACTTTGAAAATACGGATGTTGTGCTCGTTTCTTTTCCTGTTGCTGTGATGTAATCTTTAAAAATTGACTCCGGCGCAGCTCTGGCGTCCGGCAAAAATAGGATCTGTTCTAATTTTGACGGATCGCTGTCCGCTCACCGCCGCCGTGCGCAGCCAATGTAAACACTCTCATTGATTATAATGGGTGCGTATTTGCTGYGGAGGTCGGACCGGACCGGAGATGGAACGCAAGCAATGTAAATTGTGGATAAGCCTCCTTCAGCTCATGCGCTTTCGTCCCCTAAAAACRATTGCTTGTCGTGGCAGTACAAATGCCAAAACAGCACAAGAATATCTGGGCGAGTACTGGGATCAGGACCATAAGTCACTTAATACTTATGCTATGTTCCAGTTGCAGCGGAACTCAAAATGGTGAAGTCAGACTGATGTCAGCTCCGAGTTGAAAGTGTTCCAGTTTGCGGTTTGTCAGAACGTCRGAAAAAAAAAAGATTTTCTATTYCTTGCTCTGGTGGAATAACGCAACAAYAGCACCCTATCATTTTGTGTACAAACAGTGGAAAAACATATTGCTTAATATTCACTATGAAGTACTACAACTACGACTAACTTAATATAAAGCGAACAAAACAGAAGATTTTCACTCTCTTGATGCGAGGAGCGGCCATGYTGAAATGATGATGTTGGGCGTGGTTGTGTTGCACCAACTTCCCAAATCGAAATCATRACATCAGGGAGCGTTCCGTTTGATTTGAAGTCCAAAACTCAGACCTCAACTGGAACACAGCATTCAACCAATGAGACCTTTGTTATACCATAAGAAAATATGTCATTCTAAACAGATTCCAGAATCTGTGACCAGTTTCAGCGCTGGAAGAATTTGCTTTCAGTCACGTTTGCGGAGGAACTGAACCAAAGATACTGACAAAACCCCAAGGTGTGGAACTGAAAATGAGACCCAGTTTATTCACCAAACTAAAAACATACTCACAACAGAGATGAAAACACAACACACAGACTAGGACGTAAATGACAAAGAATTTAAAGGAACACTAATGAGGGACAACGACACACACCTGAGGAGAGAACATCAAGGATCAGGTGTAAGTGGGCGGGGCTACAGAAGGAAACCAGCTGGTAAAAACACAAGCAACAGAACTTAACACACACAAAAAATATGAAAAGAATTAACTCAAGTAACTTTGAAATAACTGACAGAAAAGCACAGATCCTGACACTGTCAKCAAGCGTTTTCTTTTGTTTTGTTTTGTTAACTAAAGATTACTTGTTTGAATTGAGGAAAAAAGGGCAGACATTATATTATTTCTTCTCTCTGCTTCCTTTCATTTCATTGTATTTGTATTTTTTATTGTATATAAAATTTTGTTTTTTATGAAATGAATAAAGTTAAATAATAATAATAATAATAAAATTATTTTTTAAAATGACCACATCCAAAAAATCCTGAAGCATAAGCAATAAATCCCAACATTTTTTCATAATCTGGCCTTGAATT